TAGAATAGAATAGAATAGAATAGAAATTAGAATAGAATAGAATAGAAATTAGAATAGAATAGAATAGAATAGAATAGAAATTAGAATAGAATAGAATAGAAATTAGAATAGAATAGAATAGAATAGAAATTAGAATAGAATAGAATAGAATAGAAATTAGAATAGAATAGAATAGAATAGAATAGAATAGAATAGAATAGAGCTAAACCACATCATTTGAAGATAAGTGACTGTCCAGTCTCTTCTTAAAAACGTCCAGTGACGGAGCACCCACAACTTCTGGTGGCAAGTAGTTCCACTGGTTAATGGTCCTCACTATTAGGAAGTTTCTCCTTAATTTGATTAGTTTCCAACCGTTGTTTCTTGTCCTGCCTTCAGGTGCTTTTGGAGAATAGCTTGGCTCTCTCTTCATTGTGGCAGTCCCTCAAGTACTGGAATACTGCTATTATCATCTTCTTTTAAGGATCCTTGCGGGGTGGGGTCTGAACGTGTTTATTGGCCGGATGCCCTTCCTGCCACCAATACGGAGTTTTGCTCAGCAGTTAAATTCTCATTGCTTCCAAAGAGAGAAAAATATCTTCTGCTACCTAGGATGAACTCACAGCCTCCTGATTGTGAAGAGAAAGCTCCACCTCTAGGCCACTATGCCACTCTTGGAATTTGGCCATCATGTCACCCCCTAATTCTTCTTTTCTTTAGACTACTAGCCAAACCCAAATCCTACAGCCGTTCTTCATACGTTTTTGATCATCTCAGTTGCTCTTCTCTGAACATTTTCTACAGCCTCAACATCTTTTTTGTAGCATGGTGACCAAAATTGGCTGCAGCATTCCAAGGTGTGGCCTTCACTAGGGTTTTATAAATTCGGAGAGAATGAAGGACTCACCCAACAGCTCTGGCTTCTTGTTGGACAAGATTTGGTAATAGATGTGGTAATTCCTCTCAGCCTTCAGCTGGAAGATTACTCTGGATTTTTCCAGGAGATCTAAGGAGAAGATGGAAAAGTGGAGAACGACAAAAGATACCGAGATGGTGAACATGCCGAAGAACTTTCAAAGAATCAATCCAACGTTTGAGAATTCTGGAACGCCAACACTCACAGGTTTCTATGTCGGCTGATGCCAGCTTTCCGGTTGCTCCAAAATGAATTCGAATGAATTTACCCTGAAGAAGAAAGGAAAAATGGATTGAGAGCATATAGAAGTTTGCAAAAATTAAGCATGATGGTCTTGGTAACCCAAAGAGGTCAAACCTTCTCCTTTCAGCCCAACTTACAAATCGAGAGGAGTTGTCATTCCTCAAGGTCTTGGCATTGCCGAAGGCCTCCAGAGCTGGATTGGCCTGGATGACTTGATCTTCCAAGGTGCCCTATAGATGGGGGTGGGTGAAGGTTGGAACAGGATTTATCAAAGAGTTAAATCAGGGAAACTGGACCCAAGTTTATTACATGGAGATGTTTTGCATTGGGGGGGAGGGAATTAATACATCCCAACGACTTTCTGAGTCTATTCACACAATGCAGGGAGACCCAGCAAGGCAACTAAACATGTTCCAGCATGCTTTCCCTTCTTTGAACAGTTTAAATAGCCAGCGCTGGTGCAGCCCATCATCTAGATACTCAGAGTTGGAAGGGACCTTGTAGGTCATCTAGTCCAACCCCAAGCGAGAGACCCCACACCATTTCTGACAAATGGCAGTCCAATCTCTTCTTGAAAGTCTCAAGTGATGGCGCTCCCACAACTTCCGAGGGCAACCTCTGTTCCATGGGTTGATGGTTCTCACTGTCAGAAATTTTCTCCTTATTTCCAGGTTAAATCTCTCCTTGTTCAGTTTCCGTCCATTGTTCCTAGTCTGGCCTACAGACACTTTAGAAAATAGCTTGACCCCTTCCTTCTCTCTGTGGCAGCCCCTCAAATATTGGAACACTGCTATCATGTCTCCCCTGGTCCTTCTCTTTACGACTAGCCAAGCCCAGTTCCTGCAACCGTTCATTGTATGTTTTAGCCTCCAATCCCCTAATCATCCTGGTTGCTCTTCTCTGTACTTTTTCTAGAGTCTCAACATCTTTTTGATAATGTGGTAAACAAAACTGAAGGCAGTACTCTAGATGTGGTCTTACTAAGACTTTATAGAGTGGTATTAGTACCCCCTTTGATCTCGATTGTATCCCTGTGTTAACGCAATTTAGGATTGCATTGGCTTTTTTGGCTGCCGCTGCACACTGCTGGCTCATATTTAGCTGGTTGTCCACTAAGACTCCAAGATCCCTCTCCCAGTTACTGCTATTGAGCCTGGTTCCCACCCAGTCTATATGTGTACTTTTGGTTTTTCTTGCCTAAGTGTAGGACTTTACTTTTCTCTACATTAAATTTCATTTTGTTAAATATGGCCCAGTGTTCTCGTCTGTCAAGATCCATCTGGATCTTGAGCCTATCTTCTTGGGTGTTAGCTATTCCTGCCAGCTTAGTATCATCTGCAGATTTGGTAAGTTCCCCTTCTATTCCCTCATCTAAGTCGTTAATGAAGATATTGAAGAGTCCTGGGCCTAAGACGGAACCTTGTGGCACCCCATTGCTTACTTCCCTCCATGTAGACTTAGACTCATTAAGAACTACTATGCCTAACGGGGAAAAAATTCATTTTGAATTTTGTCCAAATGGCTGTCCAATCTCTTCTTAAAATCTTCCAGTGTTGGAGCATTTATAACTTCTGGAGGCAAGATGTTCCGTTGATTAATTGTTCTAACTGTCAGGAAATATCTTAGCTTCCCCCTTAGCTTCTTCATAGCCTCCAGTCCCCTAACCATCTTGTTGTTCTTCTCTTCTGGGGAATTCTGGGAGTTGAAGTCCACCCCTCTTAAAGTTCTACATGAAATTCAACGTAGAGAAAAGTAAAGTACACATACATATAGACTGGGGTGAAACCAGGCTCAACAGCAGTAGCTGTGAGAGGGATCTTGGAGTCTTAGTGGACAACCAGTTAAATATGAGCCAGCAGCGTGAAGCGGCAGCCAAACAAGCCAATGCAATCCTAAATTGTATTAATGGAGGGATACAAACCAGATCAAGGGAGGTATTAATACCAATCTATAAAGCCTTAGTAAGGCCACACCTAGAGTACTGCATCCAATTTTGATCACCACACTATAAAAAAGTTGCTGAAACTTAGAAAGAGTGCAGAGAAGAAGAGCAACCAGGATGATTAGGGAACTGGAGACTAAAACATACAGTGAACATTTGCAGGAACTGGGCCTGGCTAGTCTAGTGAAGAGAAGGACCAGGGGAGACAGGATAGCCGTCTTCCAATATTTGAGGGGCTGCCCCAGAGAGGAGGAAGGGGTCAAGCTATTTTCCAAGGCACCTGAAGGACAGACAAGGAATAATGGATGGAAACTGATCCAGGAGAGATTCAACCTGGAAATAAGGAGAAACTTTCTGACAGTGAGAACCATCAACCGACGGAACAGAAGTTGCCTTTGGAAGTTGTGGGAGCTTCATCCCTGGAGAATTTCAAGAAAAGACTGGACTGCCATTTGTCAGAAATGGTGTAGGGTCTCCTGCTTGGGCGGTGGGGGTAGGCGTTTGGACTAGATGACCTACAAGGTCCCTTCCAACTCTGTTAATTTATCTACCTAAAGTTCCCGAGGTTGAGAAACATCGAACGGGAGTATAGGTAGGCCTCAAGCACAGGGAATTCTGGGAATTGAAGTACCCTCTGTCTTAAAGTTCCCAAGGTGAAGAAACGCCACCCGATTGGACCCTCACCTTCCCTGTTGCAGCCGCTTGGTCTTTCTTGCTACGGTCCCCAATGGCAGCAATGACCGCAAAATATTGGATGACCCGCTTGGTGTTCACTGTTTTCCCAGCACCGGATTCTCCCCTACAGATAGGAAAAACAACACTCATTTCATTAAGGCCCAATTCACGGGACAGTGTTTATGTGAGCGGTAAGTAAGATCCCCAGACAGGGCCGGCTTCCGACAAGCAAGCTCAATGGGGGAAGGCCGGGATTCGCTTAACGACCGTGTGACCCACTTAACAACCACAGCTTTTCGCTTAGCAACCGTGGCAAACAAGTTGCAAAACAAGAGTTGGCTCAGGAAACCACTGTCTCGCTCAGGTACGGAAAGTACCCACTGCGGTCGTAAGTCGAGGACCATCTGTACATAAGCAATATTGAACTCAACCCAGGAGATATCAGAAAGCTAGGCTAGGTCAAATCTGATCGGTACAGGTAGTTCTTGACTTATAACAGTTCATTTAGTGACCATTCGAAGTTGCAACACCTCTGGAAAAAAAATGACATGAACATTTTTCGGATTTATGACCGTCGCAGTGTCCCCAGGGTCACGTGATTTACATTCGGATGTTTGGCAACTGACTCATATTTATGATGGTCGCAGTTTCCCGGGGTCACATGATCCTCTTTTACGACCTTCTGAAAAGTACAGTCCATGGGGAAGTCAGATTTGCTTAACGACTGTGCTCCTAACTTAACGACCGCAGTGATTCTCTTAACAAACGTGGCAAGAAAGGTTGCAAAATGAGGCAAAATTCTCTTTAATAACGGTCTCACTTAGCAACAGAAATTTTGGGCTCAATTGTGGATCTAAGTTGAGGACTACCGGTAATTGGATGGGAGACCATTCTAACCGTATCAATTATTGTCTTTTATATTGCATATTAATATTATATTGTATTATATTCTATGATTTATGATGAATGTATTTTTATGATGACTATGATCATGATTTATCACTTATAGCTTTTATGTACAATGTGAGCTTACGCACCGAAGACTTGTGTGTCCAATCACACTTGGCCAATAAAGAATTCTATTCTATTCTATTCTATTCTATTCTATTCTATTCTATTCTA